TGTGTGGTGTGTGTGTGTGTGTGTGTGTGGTGTGTCTGTGTGTGTGTGTGTGTGTGTGTGTGTGTGGTGTGTGTGTGGTGTGTCTGTGTATGTGGTGTGTCTGTGTGTGTGTGTGTAGTGTGTGTGGTGTGTGTGTGTGTGTGTATGTGTGGTGTGTTTGTGGTGTGTGTGTGTGTGTTTCCTAGACTACGGTGGGCAAACACACCGCTCACCTGGCAACCATCAGCTTGTTCTCCGTGTCTATGACTTTGTTCTGTGTTGGTTCATGTACTGTGCTTAGACTCGCCGCAGGAGGGAAAGCCTAGGGGTTTGTCTTCCTCTGTCCGACTTCGCTCAGCACAGCACCGCTGGCCCGTCCGCGCTGTTGCACACGGTAGAGTCCCTGCCTGTCCCTGCCGCGTCGCATCCACTGTACGCCTGTCCCACGTCCTCATCCGCTCGGCTCTGGGACACCCGCTGCTTCCCAGCCTCGGCCGCTGTGACTGACGCTGCAGTGAACAGGGGCGCGTGTATCTTGTCAATCAGTGTTTTCATTTTCTTGCATAAACACCCAGACCTGGAATGGCTGGGGCTGGTCCTAGTTTTAATTTTTTGAGGCGTCTCCATGGCGGCAGCACCAATTTACACTCTCCCCCTCCCCCCCTCCCCCCCACTCCCCCAGCGCACGAGGCCCCCTTCCCCGCATCCTCGCCAGCTCTGGGCGCTTCCTGTCTTTTGCTGATCTCCGCCTGGCAGGCGTGAGGTGGGTCTCGATCCCTGGTGAGCAGTGACGTTGAGCATCTTTTCGTGTCTGTTGGCCATCGGTGTGTCCTCTCGGGACAAATGTCTCGTGGGATTCTTTTCAGGAAGCTTCTGTCTGCCTTGCTAATTACCATTAATGAAGGGCTCGCGTTTGGTGAAGTTACAGGTTAACTTGTGGATTTGTATCTGATACAAAACCAAAGATTGCTCTTGATCGTCTCATGGAGCAATCAGGGTTCTAAATGGAGTTTCGGAATCTCGCCCTGGCATTTTAAACTGATAAGAACAGATATTACACTTGATCTTAGCCAAAAGGCCGAGAAGCGATCACCCTGGCACTTTAAAATGAATCATACAGACGGGTTATTTTGATTTTCTGAATTATATAAATCATCCCATTCGATTAAATGCCTTATTGATTGTGCTGTGAATATCCCCTGGGTTGTGGTCACACTGGTCTTAGGAAGCACGTTTTCCTTCACCTGGGAAGGACAGCACCGTTATCCCAAGGTCAGAGGGCTCTGGACCCAAACTGTAATTTGGATAACATGCCCAAGTCTAACCCAGGTTACCCGAGGGCTCTAGATAATGTGTTTATAACATGCTGTTTAAACTGCTTTTTGCAAACTAGGTTCCTCATTCCAGACCCGAGGGCTCTAGATAATGTGTTTCTGCCAATTCAGTGACCCTGAGACCCAAAACTATGATTAACATGCTTACTTCTGCTTCTGTAAACTGCTTTTTTCGAGCCAGGTTCCTCATTCCAAACCCTGGGATGGAATCAATACCTTTGTGATCTTTGCCTATTTAAGTCTGGTTTTGCCACCATCTTATGACTATGAGATTTGGGGAATGGCCCCTCATAGTCCCGGATTGCAATAAATGCGACTCTTTAATTCGACAAATAAATAAATAAATAAATAAATAAATAAATAAAATAAAATGGATCATACAAACCCCTTTCCAAAGGGCTCTTGGCATCAGCTTTACCATCTCACTCTTCCCTCATTAATTAATGAGTTGAATTAACTCTTTGACAACTGTGTATTCTCTAATTGTACAAGAGTCATGATTTTAGCTTTTGGGAAATTATACTTTGACACAGGGCCCTTCTACCTCCCCACCTTGGTCAAGTCTGGGCTGGGGGTGGGGTCAAGGCCTGGTCACCCTGAGGGCTCCCCCACTTTGCTCCCAGGTCAGAAACACTGCCCTATGCACCCTGACATCTGGGCAGAGGCCTCCTTATTACGCCTTTCCGACCTGAGGACCTGGGGTGTCACTCCTGGCCCTGCGCCCACAGACAGTTCCCTGACCTCGTCTGCCAGGCGATGTCTGCTGCCACTGGCAAGCAGGGTCAGGCTGAGGCCCTGGGGAGCTATGGATGCTGTGAGGCCGGGGAGACAGGGCCAGGCACAGCCCAGGGTGGCCAGTCAGTGTCCAGCGGAGCTGGACACCATGGTGAGGACCACCTCCACTAACGTCCCTGAGCCCACTCTGGGACAAACCCTGGCCAGCCCCCAGCTGGGCAACACAGAGATGTCACCTCCACCCCCTCTGCTGCACTGCCCAACCCCACCCACCCTCTTACCGGGTGGATGAGCTCCTGCTCTGTATGGCTTCCCTCCCCTCCCCTCCCCTCCCCTCCCCTCCCTTCCCTTCCCCTCCCCTCCCCTCCCCTCCCTTCCAAGTTCTGCCCACCTCTCACTGGGCTGGAACCTGGTACCCTGGGAATCACCTGCAGCTCTTTCCTCTAACCCAGCCGGGACAGGTCCCTGCCTCTGGGAGGGAAGAGGCAGATTCAGTTGCAATGTCACCGCTTAAATATATAATGATTGTGTTACTTGTATATGACATCTTTTCAACTCAGTGCTTTTTTTTTTCTTTTTGTCCAATAAGCTTCTTTAAAAAAAGTGTTTTTATTGATTTTAGAGAAAGAGTGAGAGCGAGAAAAACATTGATGAGAGAGAAGCATCGGTCAGCTGGGGATCAAGCCCACAACCCGGGCATGAGTCACCTCCGAGGGAATGGAACCAGTGACTCGTGGTGCACGGGCTGACGCTCAACCACTGGGCCACACGGGCCGGGCCCAGTAACTTCTAATGGGGGCTCTTCTGGGGACGACCCGCCCAGTTGGCGTGGCAGGCGCGTCTCCGGCGCCACCTGGTGGCCGCTGGGTGCCCACGCACCCTAATCGGGAGGTGGGAGGTGGCGCCTGGCTGCCCCGGGGCTGCCGGGCCTGGGTGGCGTCCAACCCGCTTCCGCCCTCGGAGGAAACAGGCGCCTCGGCCGTCGGGGTGGCCGCGGCCGGCTTCCCCGGGGAGGGCGCCCGGGCGCGGGGCCACGCTGGACGCACCAATCGCCTGCGCAGCGCCACCCCGCTCCGCCCAGTTTCCGCATTTGGAAAACTGAGGCTCAGTTCTTCGAACATTGGCGCCGCGGCCCTGGTCCGGCGCTCGGACCTTCACCCAAGCCTGCCCAGCAACGCCCCTCCCCTCCCCCCACAGCGGCCCAGGCTGCCAGCGGGGGTAATGGTCACCCCGGAAGGCCGCTAACTGATCCCCTCTATTCAGGAGGCAATTAGTCCCGGAGCGGGCCTGACCCGCAGCTGAGTCACCCGGGAAGTCCAGGCGGGACCGACTCTGCTCGCCCGCCACCTGCCAAACGCTGGGCCCCGGGGTTGGAAACAGAACCAGCCCCCACCCCACCCAAGAGCCTCACCCCCACCTACGGCCAGGCTCAGAGATGGAGGTTCCGGGAAGATCGGGAGAAATCCCCGCCACCCCACCCCACCCCACCGCGCAAGTCTCCAGTTCCTCCCTCCCCACCCCCTCCCAGCTCAGGCTGCACTCCCATCTTGAACGACCGCCCTCCCCCAACCCTGGGCTGGTGGTGCCCGCAAATGCCTGCCGCGGGTGGGGAAAACGCGAGGGTGGGCGCGCCCGGGACCCGCGCGGGGTGGGTGGGTGGGGCCTCGGCCCGGGCCACGCCCCCTCCCGCCAGCCCCAGTTCCCAGGAATTCCGCTGAGTCACTTCCGAGGCTGCGGCTGCATCCAGAGAACAGGGAGCGCCATTCGGTTCTCTTCGCGGCAGCGCCCTCCCACGGTCACTGCCGAGGCCTCGGCCCCGGCGGGGGTGTGTCAGGGGCACCTACGAGCTGACCGCAGACGGTGGGGTGGGCACTCAGCCTGGCCAATCTATCCAGGTGCAAACCGCAACCGGGGGCTTCATGGGCGAGTGGACCGGCGTGCGCCCCGTCCGCGTTCCCGGTGAGAGGCTGCCGAGCGCAGCGGGAGGACGGGCGCGCCGGGCTCGCGTCCCGCCGGTTCCCTGCGGGCGTGGGCGCCGGCTTTGGGTCTATTGTCTCCCAGCTTCGCAGCGAGGCTCCGCCCGAGACTGCAAACTACAATTCCCAGAATTCCCGGCCGCCCGGAATTCCTGCTGGGCTCTGCCAACAGGGGGCGCTGGGCACCTCAACCTTTCTGCAGGCCCTGGGCGCGTGTGGGCTGTTTAGCTTGTGATGATACTGAGGGATGCCGGCTAAGCATCATGCTTTTAAAATGCTTAAGTCTTTAAAGTGTGTTTTTATTGCATCTTGTACTTTTTAAATTGTGGCAAAATACACAGCGTAAAACTTGCCATCTTAACCACGTTTAACTTTAGGGTTTAGTAGTATTAAGTACACCCACTCGGTGGTGGAACAGCCGGCAGACCGTTTACATCTTGCAAATATGAAACTCCTACCCCCTTGAAATTCCCCTTTTCCCCTCCCCCTGGCAGCCACCCTCTGCCTTCTGTTTGTAGGATTTGACTCTTCTCGGTAGTTCTTGGAAGGACAGCACTTGTCCTTTTGTCTGGCTCACTCACTCAGCAAAAGTCCTCGAGGTTCACCCTTGTCATAGCACCAATCAGGGTTTCCTTCCCTCAAAGGTGGACTGTATTCCACTGCATGTATACGCCACATTTTGTTTATCCGTTCATCGGCGGTCAGAATGGCACTTTTATCTTACTTGTTTGTTAAGAGAAAGTTTATTATAAAGTTGGAGAGGTAAAAGTGAGCCATAGAAGAAATGGACTCAGGAAAGAAGGTACAGAGGCAAAAAAGGGGCTCTTAGAGCTTAGGAGAGGGAGGGAGAGAGAGAGAGACAGAGAGAGGGAGAGAGAGAACACCCTGGGGGAGGGGTGGGGAAAGGCAGGGGTGCTCCACAGACAGAACCTTGCCCAGAGTCTCACGTGTAAATGCATAAAATAAATGCGTCGAATGATAAAGGAAACTATAATTTATTAGGGTTGTAAACCTAGAAGCTCACTGTCCTGTCCCCAGACTTCGGGTTTTCCTGTCACCTAGTTCGAGTGATGCTTCTGTGCATGGCCCGCCGACTTCATTCCTAAGGACACCACGATCACTTACCCTCCATCAAAGATCCCTACAAGTAGAACTTTCTGGGAACAGCTCCATCTCTGCTTAAGATTGCCACTCAGCCTGTGCCGCTTGCGGTGCCATCCGCCCTCTGGGATCAGGAACCATCTCCCCTCTCGCCAGCCGGGAGGATACCACACAGAGTCCAGGGATGATGGCTCGCCTCACCCCTAGATTTCTCAAAGGCGAGCAGGTCACCCCTGACAAGTCACTCCCTGTGGATTCTTCCTCCCGGTCCTCCCCGGGACGTGCGGCACGCCCGCCTCACTGAATGTAGGCCACCGAGGGGTTGGAGCTTCTACCGGCCAAGCCATCTGCCGGAGGCCATGCCCGTGCCCGGCTGCCTCTGGGTGCCGCTCATACCTGTAAATCCGGCCCAAGGCGGTGGCGTCATCCACCTGGTTTCCCACCGATGGAAATCGGCAACATTTGACTTCCTTTTGGAGTGGAAGCTATTTCCTCCAAGGTCAACCTTGCTCTTCAGCCCTGGGGCATGCTGGGATCTGACCCCAGCTCGGGGGCTGAAGGCCACAAGGGGTGGAGCCTGCAAGAGGGTCCCTCAGGTGAGTGTTCAGAAGGGGACTGCTCCACCGGGTGCCAGCTGATCGTGTGCATGAGTGCACCCAGGCGGGGTGCCTGCGGACCCTCTAGCCCCGCTGTCCTCTGGAAAAGGGGGAGACACGTCCTCACTGACAGGGTCCCCAGGAGGCTGCAGCGATCCTCTTGCCTGATGCTTTCCCGCAGCCACTTGTCCAGCAAGACCTGATGAGACAGAGCCTGCGGAGGGGGGAGGGGAGCTACAGATGGGGAGCCAGCGGTGGGCTGGGGGCACCGGGAGAACCTAGCTGGTCCCTGGTCCCTAATGGATTGAGCCCAGGCAGCACAGGTCCATCTCGCCAGGGTGAGAGGTTCCCACTAGAGGGCACCCGGGAGGGAGAAGTGTCTTCCACCAGGTCCTGCCCAAATCCTGCCCAAGCCCCAGTCACTTCTTTCTCCCCAACCCCCCTCCTCTGGGCCCCCGCCCCTCCTTCCTTACTCTCAGGGCCTCCCTTCCCCTGGGCAGCTTCACTCCCTCTACAAAGGCTCCGCTGTCCCCGCCCCACCCCCACAAGCCTGTCAATCTCTCCTGCTCACACCTCCCCCTGACCTTGCCTTCCGCAGCTGGGTCACCTTGGCCTCGTCACTTAACCTCCGCGTTTGGGAAGATTCTTTCCCGGGGGTCACGGGGGCTTTCACCCGAGAGCCTGGGTGCGACCCCCCTTTTGCTTTCTCTTTCTTCTTCCCTCTCCTTTCCCAAATGCACTTTCTTAACCCCACACCCTCCTCCCTTCCTTCCTGCTGGCTCCAGCTGGGCTGCCCACAGCCCTCCGGGGCTCCCAGCACCCCAACAGTGCCCTAGGGGCGGGGCTGCAGGCCTCGCGGGCTGGCACCCCATCCAGGCCTGTCCTCGCCGCCGCAGAGGCTCCTGAGGCTCGGGCCACGTGGACTCGGAGGCCAGGTGACCTGCATCCTGCTGAGTGTGCTGTCCCTGAGCCTCACCTGGAGTGACCCTGGCCCCGGGGACAGGACAGGCGGGACGGGACGGGCAGGCATGGGGCTGGCTGGCCCCATTTGTCAGAAACACAAGCCTTCCCGGCCAGGCCAGGCCAGGCCACTGGCCTAAGGAGCTGCAGGTGGAGACCTTCCCACCCTGGCTCCCCACCCCAGGAAGTCGTGCCTTCTCCCAGGGGGGCTGAGGAAAAGGGGGGCCCCACGCCAGACCCCTTTGTGGAGCACCTGAGCGGCGGGGGCTCATGCACCGCAGGGAGGTCTTGGTGACTGCGGTGCACGGAACAAGAAACAGGGTCAGAGCTCCACCCCGTCTCCCCACCGGCTTCTTCCTAAAAAGTGCGAACTGTTTCAAATACTCGGAAAAGCACTGAGGGGACAGAGTGCGCCTCCAGGCCCGGGAAGCTTCTCACCGAGCCTCTTCGGCTTCGGCTTCTCAAATAGAGGCCATGCTGCGGGCATCGGGACCCTCACCCTCCGCGCCTCTCCCTGAGCCCCTGCCGCCGCCGCCCAGCCCTGCGCCGGGCACGCGTGTCCTGTGCGTGCTTTCACATCCTGCCCTGGGTGTCATGTCCCCAAGTCGCCGCCACCCCCTCAGTGCACAGCCCCATCCGGCTGTCGGCCAGCAGCCGTCACCCCAACCAGCACACAGGACGCTGCCATTCCAGGAAGCTCCCTGTGCCCCCCCCCCCCCCAGCTGCTACCTGCCCCCAGAATCACCACCCTGACTGCTGTCACCAGACGTGAGCTTTGCCTGGGAGCGGGGCCTGGGCCAGAGCGAGGGTGTGCGCCTCTGGGCTCAGGTTCATCCAGGGACCAGAGACCAGCCCTGCTCTTCCTGCCGCCGCCTGAATTCCACCGCATTCCTCTGCCCGCCCTGCCCGCCCTGCCCCGGTGTCCAGTGTCCAGCGGCTTCATCCCGGGTGTCCTTACACTTCACAGCCTGCACGTGGGTGCGCGGCGCTTCTCTCCCCAGGGACCTCGCTGAGACTGATCAGAACAGCCACCGGGGCCATCGGGGCAGGTCACCCGCCAGGGGCCAGGGGGCCAGGGGCCATCCTGTCAGGGCCGCAGACCTTCCCGCGCCCTGCCCGCCGGCAGCCTCAGGGTTAAAGCGCCCGGGGCCGGCGGAGAGGGAAGGGGGCGTCTGCCGCAGGCCCCCAGCCTCTCCGAGAGCGCCTCCGGCCCGGCCCCCACCTCCCGGCCGGCCGGGCCCCCGCCCGCCCCGAGCGGACCCGCCCCGGGCCGGCTGCCCTGCGGAGAAGCCAGCGCATTTCGAAAGGCCCCCTCCCCCGGCCCCTCCGCAGACGGGAAGCGCGGGGAGGAAGCTGCGCGGCGCGCCGGCAGCCTGCGGGCCGGATGACTAAGTTCGGCTCCGAGACCTGCCACCCTTTGCCTTTTATGGCGGCCTCGTGGGCAGCGGACGTGGAGCCGAGGGGCGGCCGTGACCGCGGCTGGGGGCCGGGAGGGGGCGCGGCTCGGCCTTCCCGCAGCCCCTCTCCGCCCCGCCCCCAGCTCGCCTGGCCCAGACTCCCCCGAATTTACCGAGGGAAACTGAGGCCCGGAGAGGGATGGGTGCTGCCGGGACGCATACCTCGGCGGGGTGGAGCCAGATGACACCCAAGGCCCTGCTGCCCGGCCCAGGGCCCGATACAGATGCCACCCCCACGTGGGCAGGGGCTGGCAGCGGCATTTATTGAGCTCCACTGTTGTCTCCCGGCATGTTATTCTCCTCACCGCCGTCCCAGAGGCAGGGGGGCCCGGGTCCCTGGGCCGCAGAGGCGGGGGAGCCCAGAGCACACCTTTGCTCTCCTGGGAGCGTGCTCAGTGGGGGTGCCAGGCAGGAAGCAGCTGCCCCCCTTCCTTCACTCTAACCTGGCAGGGCCCTGCTGCGTGTCTGACTTCACGCTGCACAAACGGGGGAGAGCATCTCCCCGTTGAGCAGGTGGGGAAAGCGAGGCTGTGAGCAGAGGGAACAGCCCAGGTCGCAGGGGCTAAGTGGCACGGCCAGGGGTCTGGCAGGTGTGCCTGGGAGGGGTGCCCGGCCCCGAAGTGTTCACGTGCACAGACGCCCACAGGAAGTTAGAACTGCTGTGCGTCTGCCCGAGCTGGTGGCCGTGTGACCCTCTGGGCACAGCGGCGTTTCCTGAGGTTCTTCAGCGCCCCCTGCCCGGCCCCAGCCCAGCGCTCAGGCCGGCTCCGCCCCGGGTCTCTGTTCAAGCACAAATTGGGGACAAAGTGACTGGCTCACCAGGACGCTGTACACTGGGATGGGGGGGGGGGCAGTAGGGGGCAGGCCCCAGGAAGCGCCTTGGTCAGGGCCTGGTCTGGAGGGGGCGAGGCAGGGGTTTAGGAAAACCCGAGGCTGGGCTGGCGGGGGGACTGCGGGCCCCTGGGGGGAGGGGGCAGGCACACCTCCTCCTCCCTCCCAACGCCCCCTCCAGGGGTGCTCCAAACCTCGCCTTTTATGGAGAGGAAGTTGGGCCAAGTGGGCCGGGCCTCCGGAGGGGGGGTGGGGCTGGGGCCTGCAGGGCGCTCGGGCCTGGAGCAGCCCGCGCTGGACCCCTCCGAGCCGAGCCGGGCAGCCAGCTTATCTCCATGTGAGCCCTGCGGGCTGGGAGCACCCGATAATAACCACCCAGCCCGGCAGAGGGGCCTGGCCCTGGGTCCCACCGACCCGGCTGGAGGCTGGCAAGGGGTCTGAGCAGCTCACCTGGGCAGCTACCTGCCTGGGGTCCCGATGGGCCCTCCACCCTCGGGTTTGCTCCCGCCAACCTGCGAGAGACGGACCTCTGTTCTGGCGCCCAGTGTCTGGGCCCAGACTCCCCGCAGAGGAGGCCCCCACCCTCAACTGCCACCAACCCCAGCCCTGGCCACCCAGTGGGAGGAGGGCTGGGAGCCCAGGATTTAGGGCCATCAGGGAGTCCAGAGTCCACGTGGGGCCCTGGGGCCCAGGCCGAGGCCACTGGGCCCCGCTATGCAGTTGGGCACACTGAGGTCAGAGGCAGCAGGGCGGGGCCAGGGTGGGGCGGGAGTCCTGCTCTTCCATTGCGGCCAGTGAACCCTGGCCCGAGGGCGGGGGACACTGGAATGCTGTCTCAGGTATTCCCACGGGGACCCCACGAGTGGCCTGCCACAGGCTGTGATTCGCCCCATCCCCCCGACATTCCCAGCTCTTACAGAGACGTGGCCTAAGTGTCCGCGTGGGGCACGGCAGGAGGGCTCAGTGGTCAGGGCCTGGGAGGGGCGTGCCCGGTGTGTGCTCCCCATGGTCTCTAGGCCTCTTCTCCGCCCCTGACAGACAGCTGCCTCCTGCCCCGCCCAGGCCTGGCCTTGGCCATGGGGAAGGCGGTGGGGGAGCTCCCAGAGGCTGGCGCCAGACCCAGTGCACCCTGGGCCAAGGCGCTGTCCTGATTAAGTCTAGATATGGCCTGCAAGTGGCCCCTGATGACAGGGAGAGGCCCTGCCCTTTGTCCTTTGTCCTTTGCCTTTGTCCTCTGCTCAGGGGGCTGCTGGGATCAGGGCCAGGAAGTTCAGCTCATCAGCTGATGGGCACACACCCTCCTCCTCCTCCCACACCCTCCCACACCCTCCCACCCCTCCCCCAAAGCCCACTGTGGGTACCACGGAGGGAGAGGCCACTGGCCCGGAGCTCCCCGCTGGGAGCAGGAGCGGCAGCCACCACAGCAGGCCCTTTCCAGCCCAGGAGTGACATGGGGCACTTTTCTGAGCTGACACACCCCCGTGTTGTCCTCCCGACACCCCCCCACAGTGTCCCCCCACTTTACAGGTGAAGAAACCGAGGCCTCCCCGTTACCTGCCCAGAGTCACAGAGATGGCACACCTGCCCCATCTCGCCATCGCCCCTTGGGCAGGCCCCTCACTCCTCAGCCTGACCTGTGATTGGGGGAGCCATCAAGGCCCCTGCCTCATGGGACAATTGACGGGGAGTGAGCAAGACAGGCCTGGCCCCTGGAGGCCGTGAAGGGCAGTGGGGCCTGTGGGGGATGGGGACTCAGTACCTCACCTCCAGGGGAGCACAGCCCTGCATGGGAGTGAGGGAGCCGCACACACCCAGGCAGGTCCCGGCCCCGACTGTCAGCCTTGGTACCCACAACCTTAAAACGGTCTAATGACGCTGCCTGCCTACCCCTTGGGGTGGCCATGGGGCCAGAATCGAATTCCAGAGCCACCGGAAGGGAAGAGCACCAGGCCAGGCCACTGTCCTCACGCCGTGGCCGTGGGCGTGCGCACACCTCTGTTTCTGTTACAGACTCCTGCTCGGCCAGAGGCGGCGAGGAACTGAACCCGGGGGGCTACCGGCTGCTGCTTTACGTGGAGCCACCTGCTGAAGCATCAGCTTTGGCCCGTCCCGCTCGCCCTCTCCCGGCCTTCAGCCTCTGTAGCTCCCCAGCACCCTGCAGGACAAAGTCCCGGCTCTGGGTTTATGCCAGTCCCCGAGCACATGCCTGCCCCAGGCATGCTGGATGCCAGCTAATCCATCGCCAGGCTTGCGAAGCACTTTGCCACCTCCTGGCTGGACGCCAAAGCTGTATTGCTGTGGCCCTGCAGCTCCCTGCCCTCGCTGGGCCAGGCAGAGGCTGAGGGGAGGAAGGGCCGGCGGCCAGCTTTGCGGGGAGCAGCACAGAGGTCCTGCAGCTGTCACCTGGGCGGCCTGGTCCCAAGTCCCAGATCCAGTTCCCACCAGTTCCCTGCTGGGTCTGGGGGTGCTCCCAGTGCTGGGTCCCAGAGGCTGGCCCCGTGAGCTTGTGTCTGTGGGTGCCCGGCCTCCAGGAGGGCCTGTCTCTGGAACTTCGGGCTCCAGACCCCAACCTTAACCAGGTCTGTGAGTCTGGGCTCTGCCATGTCCACCTCAGTGTCCCCATCTCTACAATGGGGCCTGAATTCAAGACCCGGAACATTCCTCCCAAAGGGTGAGGGCTCGAGCCCCTCTGAGCTCCTTCCCTCCGGTGTCCGGGGGCTGAGGGTTCCCCTGCCTTATGCCCACCCCACCCCAGCTCACCCACTGGGTTCTTTCTCATCTGGGGCCACCATGGGCTCTCTGGGGTGCTGGCCAGAATGAAAATGGCGTTGGGCCCAGATCTCCCCACTGAGGCTCCCACAGACTGTTTCCGAAGTGCGCCATCACCTCAGATGTTTGCAGCTCTCCCATCACCCCCTCTGCCAACACCCTCTCTGTGTCTCCTTGCTGGACTCCTATTCAAACGTCAAGGCCCAGCTGAGAAAAAGCCCTCCCCTGGAAAGCCTTGCCAGACCGCAGGCTGCCCCTCCTTCCGGCCAGGCCCTCCACGCCCAGGATGTCAGACCGTGGTCCCGGGACCTGTGGAGCGCGGGGCTGGAGTCTGACCTGTGAGCATGATCAGTCACTGGTGAGTCAGCTGCTGCCGCCAAGACCCGAGGACTTCCGGTGACTCTCACCCTCCGCTCCCCTCCTGCCAACACCGGCTGGAAGGTGTGCGCCCTGAGCTGGCCCGCCCCTTCCTCCCTGGCCTATTCCTCATCGGCTTTGGCAGTCGCAGCGCTCGGCTCCTGCCAGGGCCCTGCCACGCCCTGCGGGACAGGATGCTCACACCCTGGAGACGACGCATCCATTCCTGCCGCGGCTCCCTTCTCTGCAGAACTAGGTCCCTTCCGTCCCTCCTTCCGTCCGGCAGATGGAAGCTGAAAACCTCACTAATGACACGCCAGGAGTTGGGGATTCCACAGAGAGCAAAACAGATGTGGCCCCGCCCGCAGAGCATGGAGGGAGAGGAACCCTGTGCCCACACAGGTGCCTCTGATTATCAGATGTGAGCGTGACAAGTGCAGGAGCCAGGAGAGCCCTGCCCTTGCCTGGGGACCAGGGAGGGCTTCCTGGAGGAGGCGGTGTTTCCCCTGAGCCCTGAAGAGTACGCAGAACTTAAAGCAGCATAAAGGGTGTGTGGAGGGAGGAGGGTCCATTATGGATCGAGAAGAGCAAGTGTAAGGCCTGGACAGGCAGGGCTCCGGACTGGCAGGGCCATACTCTCAACCTAGGGACCACCACGGCGTTCGTGGGCAGCTACACGAATTGCCCCAAACTGGCTACTTCCATGCACATTTCCAGCTCCCAGGAGCCCCTCATGCTCTGGCCAGTCACCACTCCCGAGGGCCAGCACTGCCCTGACCAGCGCAGGCCCGCTCCG